TCCCATATCCGCTCAGTGCTCTGTGCTTACTTTTGATCATTCAAAGAAAAATCAGAGACTGGGTGATACACGTAGGGTTCTAATATCATGTGCCCATTATTCAACGATTAAATCAACTAAATTATTAAATCCACTGCTTGCTACTGTGAATTGTCCCTATGCAGACACAACGCCTATCAGGTGAAGTGGAATTTTGAACAGCAAGTCACACACATCTGTATTTTAAAGTTGACATCGCCATAATCACAACAAAGAGCTGAGAAGTCCTCCTATGGATAGCTACCGATCATGCTGCATTTGAAACAACACTGCCAAATTCTGTGTATCACAGATTAAGAAAATAAAACTAGACAATGAAGTAAGAATGAAGCCGGTAGTGGTGAAAACGGGGGTTGATCTGCAATATGAAGTCTTGAAAATTACTTAAAAGTGGTTAAAGATTGCCTAAACATGGACAAATGGTAAATGGTCACAATATATAGCTTTTCCACCTTCAAGGCAATCAAAATACAAGTTTGATAAAGTAAATGAGACGTGGAAACAACTATAACATGGTGAATAGCTTTGAAGAGTCTATTTTGCATAATAGGAAAGCTTAATGTCAACATTAAGCTTTCCTATTCAAATGTCAATAAGATAGAAAGTCTGAATAAATGTTGATTGTTTCAACATGCAGCTTACATTCTAAGAAAAGTGAAGAAAGTAGTAGAAGGTAAGTGTAGTGCTACTGTGTTGCCTGCCTGTTTCCAAATCATTGTGAGTTTATGGTGCTCTAGTTACATTATAATGAGCACAAACAATCCCAGCACACTCAGCTTATTCACAATACAACAGTCAGGAGCGTCACGGATTTATTAGCCATGTCCTGTTCCTCATTTCATCCAGATCAAATGTACCCCACTTCCTTAATATGATTGAATGCTCACGGTTTAATACAGGACTTTTAATTATGCTCTTCCATTTGTATGCACTCAGATATCTCGAGGCAACCCAAGGGAAAAGCCAATATGAAAAACCAACAGATGAAGAAGCCACAACAACCACACAAAGTAATTTTCAGCAAATACATGCTGGGCGTTTTATGTTTGGTTCAGCAGTTCAGTGGTGGAAAAATGCCTTGTTTTATATTCAGCAGAAAAAGGAGATTGGAGTCTTTGAATGTGGAGATGGCACCTTATTACAGAAGGTTTGAGCGTATCCATGTCACAGTGGCGGTGCTGACGCAGCCCCCAGAAGACTGAGGGAGGAATGCTAGGATTTAATCATGTTCTCAGCAACTGCCCATATGATCACACAAGAGCCATATAATACAGAGGGAGAGAGACAAAGAGACAGGTGGATGAATACGGACCAGTGACAGACCTCACTGTTCATCTTCTGTCTAAGGCTTCATCTATGCCAGATCAGAGCATCTTTCAGGTTCAAGTTTCACTTTTATTCTTATAAAATACATAAAAACTAGATGTGTCAATATGAGCAGTGCATTTCCAATTTCCACAAACTACCATGACAAAATATTAACTTAATCGGGGTGAGCTATATGTCAAAAAAAGGTTGATTTTCTTGTAGCCAGTTATCATGATTCATGCATACTCAGTATTAGAGCCCGACCGATATATCGGCTGGCCGATATGAGCACCTGGAGGCATATCGGCTATCGGCCAATATGCTTGCTGATAGGGGCCGAAATTTCACGTGGGCATGTTATACCTCGTTATAAATCTTAGACTCTCTACATTATGTTCATTTAATCCAATTTACAGACAGATAAATGTCCAGATATGTGGCTCTGCGTCAGTATTTATCTGCGGAGTCATTTGTCTGTGTGTGTCCGTACTGTCCCTGAACACACCCCCAGAGTCACGTGCATTTGTTTACACCCGCTGACATAGATCCATGTGCGTAACACTGAGATTATATTCTTTTTACGGACAATCGGTTTGACTCTGGATTAAAAGGACTTTTATTAGTGCAGACTTGCGATGTGAGGAGGAGCCTCTGTGAGCGGTGAGTGTTGATAATATGTCGACTTCGAAGCTAGCCGATTAGTTAGCGATTAGCTGTTGTAGCTCTCACACATAAACAGGCTGTTTTCTATTGGCCTATTGTAAAGTGACTATTTTGGCAGTATATTTGTTACTGGACCTGCATTGATATGTAAATGAGCTGTGAATAGACGTGTGAATGATGAAATTTGCGCATATAATTAATTACCGCGGCGCGCAGCATTTACGGCTAAAGGCTAATAGCGATTGTTTATTTACTCGCTAGCAGTGATGGGTCGGTCGCGAACGAAGAGCTCTTAGAGCCGGCTCTTTGAAGCAAACGACGGGAGCCTGATCCTTATTGGTATTGGGAGTCGTGTTTTCTCTTTCTCTCATTTTTTTTCTCTTCACGTGGGGTCCAGACTCTTGGTAGTTTGACAGAGGCAGCGGCTAAAATCTAAACTTTCAAAAATATGCGTGTGCATAGAGTAAAAAAAAAAACGTGCATAAATATATTCAGCATAAAATAAATAAACCAGGACTAATCTTGGGGTCGAGAGAGGGAGAGAGATAGAGATCGAGTCCCGACACTCAGTCCTGGTTAAGTTCTGGTTTAGTCCTGTTTTACACATGGTTTAGATCTGTTTTAGTCCTGGTTTAGTCCTTTTTCAGTCCTGGTTTAGTCCTGGTTCAGTTCTGGTTTAGTCCTGCTTTAGACCTGCTTTAGTCCTATGACATATCATGTAAAGAGGCAGAATAACAATAAATGTTGCCTAAATAAACCCAGTTTAAAATCCACCAGAGCCAAACCTAAGTTGTTTTTTTTTAATAATTCAAGATTTACAGTGAATTTTTACATCACTAAATATATCGGTGATTATATCGGCAGCTTCAACTCCCATTATATCGGTATCATATCGGCCACAACAAAATCCATATCGGTCGGACTCTACTCAGTATATTGGTAAATCAGCGCATCTTCTTGACTTGAGAGTTCATACTACACTGTGATTGGCTAATTCCATCATCCTCATTCAGAGTCTTAGTGTAGCTGACCCAAAAGAGCAGGGGTGGGGAAAAGAGTTTGAGAGCAGCAGTACAGAAACACCAAATCACAATATGATGCAATGACCAAAAAAGCATATATACACATGAATGAGATGATGTGTATTTATCCTCATATCGTTCAGCTCTACTAAAATGTGCAAATATAGTAGAAACCTAATGGCTCCATTTATTTAAGATAAAGCTGAGGTCAAAATCAGTAATCTCCCATGTGCTTCCCATACTGCGAGTCCTGTTGCCACCAGTAAGGCCACCACTTACATCCCAATGGGCTTAAACTACAGATAACCATGTGCTATTTATTTGTGTGTGTGTGCATGGGGGAGGTATGTGTATGTGTGTGGTGAGGGTCACTGAGGCACAAGGTCAAGTTTGACAATAAAGGAATCTGCTGCATATAGATAAAACATAAAAAAAAAGGTATAGAACAGTGGTTTATTTGAGGTTTATGGATTGGGGATCAGTGTTACCCTGGCAACAACTAATCACAGGATGCATATGAGGAAAAGGTCAAGGTAAAAGATTTGGCAGCTTGAACAGCCTGTCCACAACACCATCTTTGTACAAGCAAACCATGCATTAACTTGCCTTATAGTTGTTTTGCCATTGTTTTAAAGTAGGCTATATGACAACAAATATAAAACAGTGGAAAATGTGATCTATCTTAATAGTGGCCTCTCCTATAGGTCTATACTGAGAATGAGCAAAACAGTGTCCTCAATATGCAGGTTAAGCACTGGCAATCCAGATCGTTTTTTAAACCAGGCTATACCTTCCTTAAAGTTTGTAATACATTTTACAATTATATTTAAAGCTTACTTCAGTTGCATATGTAAAAACATCAATGGGGCTTTAGAAGATTAAATGCAGATTCACCAACTTAAATATCTTGAAATGTTAAGCATTTAAAAAAATCCAAATTAAACAAAAAATTTAAGTTAAATACAAGATCAGCCTCTTACTGTCGTAGCACAATGTATGTCAACAGGGCTTGAATAAAATGTTTGAGGTATAAGGCTGATCTTGTATTTTAATGTTATTTGCTCGTCTGGAGAAGCACCATTGTAGCCACTGAAACAGTCACTCTACTTGTCTTAGTTAACATTTTAAGTTGTTTGAAATTATTTAAAATTGTATGTTTTATTTGATAGATATATTTTTTTACATGAAGGGTGTAAAAGTGTAGCCAGGTTGGCTCCACCTAGTGCCTCTGCTCAATTTCATTTCTCTCCAGCAACTAGGTTAGGAATCAAAATACACTAGATGGTTCGCAAAAACCCTGGAAGTGCAAGTTCGGGCACCAGTCAATCAGAGAAGAGCCATACATTCAGTGTTGTCAACGATTCCTGTGATCGAGGATTTAAAACCGGAATAAAGAGAATGTTTGGTGAATTTCATCAAGGGGAAAGACGTTATTGCCCTTCTTCCTACGGGATTTGGGAAAAGCTTAATATACCAGTTAGCCCTCTTAGCGGCGCATTACATACGTGACTACCAAATAGCAGCGATTGGTTAAATGATAAAAAGCACCCGCCTACCGTCGAGCAAACAAACTCTAACACTGCGAGGTCAGACGGTTTCTATGAAGTGAAACCGACTGATGAATCAGGCTAGTATGAGTGTGCTATAAGAAATAAATAATCTATAGGACTTTAGTAAAGCCTCATCTGGACCAAGAATATACAAGGACTGCACCAGTTCTTGTTTTGGTTAGGATACAACCAGAACAGAAATTTTATTGGGTTCCAAGCACAGATCAGTTGTGAAACACTGCATTCAACAGTTTGAGGACACTCTACTACAACTACAAAGATACCAAAATGCACTTTGAACTGAAAAACTTGTCTGATCTGGTAACCATTATTTACTAAAAAAACATTATAAACAGCTAAAGACTTGCTTGTTTTGAGTGTGTTAGCGAGACAAGATGAGAAGTGACATTGGACTGACCTTTTGGTGCTGAACATGTTGGCGGAATCTTCTGTCTCCTGCTTAGGGGCTACAGGGATCACAGTCTGAAGTCCACTTTTCAAACCTGTGTGAACAGACAGATGAGAAGGAAGAAGAGAGGGATGGAGAGAGAAGAGAGGAAAACATGAGATTTTCAGAATAACATTATTATTTTGTGACCACACTGACCTTAGCAACATGTATTAACTGTTCACAAGCACAAACAGCGAGAAGGAGGCAGGGCTGGGAGCAGCAGGAGGTGATGAGGAGAGAGCTGCTGTGGTAACATAACAATGACAGACTCACAGTATGGCTCAGGTTTAAATAATTACAGAAAGCAGTTTGTTGTTATAATCTTTGGCTCAAAAGCCATCCGAGTCTAAATCTTCTGGATATTACTCATACATGCCAAATATCTATAAAAAATTAATATTCATATGCATTATTGTGTTGCTGCAGTATAGGTCTACTCTATTTAAATCACTCAACCTTAATATGTATTTGTAAAATATGAAATTCCCTAAAACATGATTAGCTAATCAACATTTCATGGATACAAGAGACAAATCAGTGTTTACCCAGAGTTAACTTAATTAATGCTGACATGCAAGCGAATAATAACTCAATTAAAATGCAATTAAAACTGGACAGTATATTTGCTTGTGTTGGCAAACAAGGCACATGAATGTTATTAAGCAACACTATGAGAATTTAATCTCAAACCTGTTTCACTGTGTTATCTAATATCAGCAAGTTAACCTTTACATAAGCAAGCAAAGGCTATCAGAGACCACAGGTGAAAGAAGATAGGCTTTAATAATTTATGCAAAGGCCTACCTATGCTTCACTTCTTAACATCTACTAGTGGTAACAAGACAAAAAAAAAAAAAAAATAGGGCGATAAGGAAAATACCTTATTTCAGAGCTTGACCTTACTCTTTATTTATCAGAAGACTACATTAATTGATAGTAAAACTGAGCAGTGACAAGTGGAAGAGCTGATGTATAAAGGTGAACAAAGGGCTGTGACAGTGGAAACATGTGATAATTCATTGGGTGACACTAAAGCGGGATGTAGTCACTTCCGTAATAGATCCGAGCAGAGTAGGAGCCAACAGGTAAACAAGTAGACACAACACAGGCTGGCCTTAAGGGGTGGTGACTAAAGAGGATTATATTCAAAGCAATGGCAACATAGACTTGACAGTATACAGTGTTGTAATTATCATTAGTAAGAAATATGAAATAATATTTCTAAATTTGAATTACCAGGTTTAACTTGTTATTTCTCATTAAGGGTCCGTTCCCACTTGGTCTGAGTCCTCATAGACTTGGTATAACTCTGTTATGTCATGGCATAGTCTTAGTTTTGTTCCAGGTCTAATCCCTGTTTTTATAAGGTTTGTGAGAAGTGTGAACGCACCCTTAGCCTTGGTCAGACTATAGACCTCTGTTAAGTCCATCCATCCATCCATTTTCTTCCGCTTATCCGGGGCTGGGTCGCGGGGGCAGCAGTCTAAGCAGGGACTCCCAGACTTCCTTCACCCCAGACTCTGTTAAGTCTTGGATTCATAATGGAATAATTTCAGTCTGAACTTCCACAATACATTATAATAAAATACGGCTCTCTCAACCTTAATTTCCTATCTGATAGGGAAAGTACACTTCTGTAGCAAGGACAGCTCCAGCTCTCTTCTTGTTGATTTTTTGTTGTACATAGCTCATTCTGACCTACTATTAGTGGTTATAATATGGTCTACAGTGGAAGCATGGCCAGATTTAAATGGGGATTATTACATTGTGTTGAGTGTTTATGTTTCAGGTCCTGTGGTAAACAAACCTCTCTTGTTTTAGACACAGTCTCCAGCCTCTTTTTTACACATCACTGACATACATACAGAATTATACAGAGTTATACGAATAAAAAAACAAATCTTTCGGTTGTGCCAGGTGAGATGAAACTTTGCCGTTTTGTGAATCAAGACTGTAAGTGGAGCTAATATTATTAAGTATTATTTGCTGATAGAAAAACAACTATTTGCAAATTGTACTAACACTTTTCATATCAGTGAAATGAACATTATTGTTGTGAGGAGACATCAGTTTCAGCTGACAGAAAAGCTACATTAAATAGATGCAATTTATTGCTGTAGGTGCATAGATACTAAAAAAAAAAATATTATATATAGTCAGCGAATGAAGAATAAGAGTAAATCTCTCTCTCTCTCTATAATTGTGTGTAATAGTCATCACTAAGCAATAATGAATGAACCATGAATCATGTGTTATGAATGGATATGAACAGTGCAGTCTGCAGGTATATCATCATTCATCATTTTCCCCTTTGTCCATGTCTCTCTTTGTTTCAAGTGAAAACTACTGCAGAATATCCTGATATCAAAGTAACAGTGATTAACAATGCATTTGATACAGTCTAGTTCAAATGAATACCATCAAAAATATTTCTCTCACTATCTGCTTCATTAAAGGTTTGCTAAAGGTTGAATTTGACAGTTGAGCTCTTTTGCTTGGGTAAATGTCTGTGAGCAGTGCCGCTGGTGCTCCATCAGAGAAACTTCAGAGTATGCTAGGTCATGTAGATGCTCTATGTATAATGGTGAATACATCATGGTAATATTTAGTATTATAAGATGAAGTCTATTGTTAAAGACTAAGAGGCATCATTGTAAACCAGCTCAAAACAAATTAACCAGAACTAAATAACCAACTAACCACACAAGGATACCTTTGATATCACAATTACAGATAAACCAATATGGTAAATGGCCACATTTTTACATAGTGTTTCGCCACCTTCAAGGCAATCAAAGTGCTTTACTTACGTCAAAGTTTACATTTTGGGGTTTATGACTCCCCTTCCAGGAAAGTTACACAGTGCACTGAGCAATGCCTTTGTGATATATATCGTGTCCTGCTAAATACTTCCATGCGTTTCATGATGTGTCCTGTGCTTCATTAGGCTGCGCTGGTGTTGGAGCTGAATTGTCTTGGGGCGTGAGGAGCATCCTGACAAACACTATCAGCACTGGAGCATGTAATGGAGAGAGGTGGACACAGTCACACAGAGGGACAGCAGGTAAAGCCCACACTACAGTCTGTGAGCCGCCAACCGCCTGGAAAACTGCACTGACATAGCTACACGGCTAGAACAGGATAATACAGCTGAGTTTTGTGTGTTAATTGGCAGTGATTAAAAGTCTGTTTTATTTTGTCCAGAAATGCTTTTAGTAGCACAAAACAATTGTTCCATGGACAGACTCTGGAAATTGTTAGTCCCACATGCCAAACATCTGTACGTAATCTGTAAGTCGTCCCTATATCTGATGAATGCAAGAGGATGGACTGCTAACTTGAAAAATATTTTAATTGTTGCTATGTTTGTTTCTATGTTGTTGCTGCAGAACTTTATTGATTTCAAAGGAAATTAAAAGTATCTATCCATCTATCATCCATCTATCTATGAAGAAACTAGATTTATTTTTGAAATGTCACCAAAGAGGTCACCATTTTCTCTCTAGAAAATATAAATAAGGCACTATGACGTGTTTTTCACCCCTCATTTTGAGGGATGAAAAAAACTGCAAGAAGGAGAATTACCTTATGAATTGGGACATTGCTAAGGCCCTAGAAAAGAGAAACAAGTACCATCTCTGGATCAGGGAGGCCACTGAGATCCAGAAACATGCTCACTTAACTGTGAATAAGGATTAGGGGGCATACAAACGTTCTAATACCTGGGATACAGGTCAGGATGGCCTTCTGGATGGTAACTAAAGAAGATTATACTCAAAACAATGGGAAAATAGACTAGAGAGTAAGTCTCGGTTTCATAATGGAATTATTTTAGCTTGAATTTACACAATACATTGTAATACAATACGGCTCTCTCAACCTTCATTTCCTATCTGATAGCAAAAGTGCACTTCTGTACCAAGGACACCTCAATTTGTTGCAGATAGCTCATTCTTACCCACTATCAGTGGTTATATTGCAACCTACAGTGGAAGCATGGTCAAGAATGGACAAGACCACAATGTGTTGAGTGTTAATGTTTTAGGTCCTGTACTCATGGTAAATACACTTCTCTTTTTACACATCTCAAACGACACTATCAGCTATACAGGGTTCCACCAAACAAAACACATATTAGAATAAAATGAATAGTATGTATGAGTCACCTGAGCTGATGTAACTCAGTTTCCTAGAGTTCAACTCCCACTGCATGCTACTCAAACAGCTTAGAGGCGACATATTTCAAGGTTAATGTAATGTAACTTTGAAATAAGAGAAACTTAGTCTTGATTCACAAAACTACAAAATGTGTTACAAGTAAATGGAGCCAGTAATATTAAGATTAGGAAAAACAATTATTAGTTAGTTGTACCAATACTTTTCATAATGGTGAAATGAAAATTATGGGAGGAAATATCAGTGAGCTGACAGATGAGCAACATTAAAATGTAAACAATTAATTGCTGTAGGTGCATAAATACAAAAAGCCAATTATTATTTGTCAGTGAATAAGAATAAGGATGTCAGTGAATAAGGATAAGAGTTTATCTCTTATAAACAGTAATTCAGGAGTACACTCAAATAATTTCCACATCAAAACATTTCCTCTTTCAAATGAGTCATCCTCCCATTCCTCACAATGTTATAAGAATCACCTTATGGATTGGGACAATGGGACAGAGGTCTGAGCAAAGAACAACAAGTAGCTCTGGAAACCTGCTCAGTGGATTAGGGGTCATACCAACATTCTAATACCTGGGATACAGTTCTGAAGAAGTGGCACAGCAGATCTGAAGTCAGACGGCAAATCTGTTTAAATCAGCTTTTGGTGCCTGTCCCAGTCTGAATAAAAGAGCGTTCATTTACGTATAAGCCCCAAATTAAATACCTACGTACATTCTTGAAGGTTTGAATTTTTTTTGTAAAATGGAGACTTCTGATAATTTCGATTAGTTCACAGTAGTGCTGCACTGCTGAATAGTACAATCTGGACTATTTTAGATGCAAGGGTAAGTAAGTTTTAAATGGTCATTGTTATGTGGGTGAAATGGA